GAAAGTAGATATCAAAGTGCGTACATATGGAAGATAATAGATAATGGCATATTTCGAACAAATCAAAGAGAAGGGGAGTAGTGAGAACTAACTGAAATCATGTTTGATTCAACCCTCTAGCCATCACTGTTCAAGCTCACAAATATGATAATAATTGCATAGGCTGTCCTTGGGTAGAAGAAAGAAGAAGATGAACAATAGACTTTTCTCTAGTGAGGCCTCCTCTCTCTTTCCCCAACCCAAATTCATTGTCATGAAATAAGATGATAGAAAAGCTCTTTACATTGCCTCATTTTTCACCGGAAAATTCTTAGTATCCTCCTCTTCTAACCCTTACTCTCTTATTTATAGGCTCCACCTAGGGTTTTTCAATTTTTCTCTAATTTTCATTTTTTTAATTTCTCTCAATTATGACTCATAATACAATTTCCTATTTAAGTACTAAATCATCTTCAAATTGTGATTTTTTTATTTTGATTTTGATTTTCTTAAATTTTCATAATTATGACTCCAAAAGATATTTCTAAATTGAAGAGTCAATAATATTAAATGAGGATTTTTTATTTTTATTTTTGAATTTTCCTATTATTTTTTTAAAAGACTCCACCTGTATTTTCTAATTTAGAGGTCAATTGGCTTTTAATTCTTATCTTTTATTTTATTGACATTTATTGTAAGAGGAATATTTTTATTTATTTATTTTTTTTTATTTGCTACAGGGTGGATTTCTCAAACTTAACTTCCAAGAAAAAATTAAGAAGGATATTAATCATTTATTATTATTTTATTTATTTTCATTTATTTCATTTACATTTTTTTTGTGGGGCCCGGACAAAATTGGGTATTCACATGAAGTCTAATGCTTTTGGTGCTACATTGTAGGAGACTCACGTTTGGATTTGGTTTCAGTCATCATCTTTGATGAGCATTTAAATCTAGACCATCCAAATTTAATTTGAATGTTTTAGATTTATTTTTCTTTTGCTTTTCATATTCCTTGAAAAAATTTATTTTAATGTGTACAGATTTTAAAATAAAGACAATATCTTAACTGTCATTTTTTTGAAAAGATAATTTTTCCATTTAAAACTAATTAGTTGAACATGTTAAATCTAGATCAATGAAATTATATTTAAATGGTGTAAATCTCACTGCAACAAGGTACTGAAAACTAGACCGGTCAAGTTAGTGGGTCAAGAGTTAATGAGTTAGACTGGAGTTGACTTGAAGTCAGACTGGTAATAATTAAAAATATATAATTTATATAAAATATACACAAAATATTTATATTTAATTATAAAAATATTTTAATAATAAAATTTGAAAATATCCTATCAAATAACAAAAACGATATCATATGGTATATAATTTAGTAAAAATAAAAGAATTGTATGAATTTCCATTTGCCCCTTCTTATTTTAGTTATATATGTAATTAATAATAATTTGTATAGACTGATGCATTGTTGATGTGGGAGGATGGGCGGGCTTTGAAAAATAAAGGAGGAAAAACCACTCCAACATGCTATGCATGTTAGAGAACGGCTTAAGGCTATCATTATAACCGACCTTTTCCTTTTTTTTCCCCTTTGTTTTTCTTTTCAATTTGACTCTACACGGTGCTCTACTGCTTCTTTTGTCTTCTTCTTTCTTGCTCTTTGCCTCTCTCACACTCTTTGAGCAATGTGTCTTCTCCAATGGTCTAGAAGTGCTTCTTTTGTTTTTCTGGTTGCGCTCTTCCTCACACACATGGTGTTCTTCTCATTACACAGTACTCTCAAATAGCAAGAGCTCTTACTGCTCAAGAATCATTCTCTTCTTTTTTCTATGATTTTTACACTAAAAACTTCTTCCCTTATTCTCTTCTATACTAAGTTTTTTTCTATTTTGCATTCTCTTCTTTCTCTCCTTTCTTCTTCTTTTTCCTAATCGACAATGAACTTGCCTCTTCTTTCTTAGAGGATCTGAGCCTCTGTGTTCTCTAGACAATTCTTTTTTAAGAGTGACTCAGCAACCTGCCCAACCCAACGAGTCTCCCAGGTTATGGCCGAGTTACCTGCTTACGACTGGGTTATTTCAAGTCACTTCTTTCCCAAGTTAGCAGCGTGACCGGACTAGACAAGTGATTGGGTCATCAGTTTTCGGGTCAACCAGCCTGGTCTAGTCCGGTTTTTAATACCATGCACTACAGCGATGATCACCATGATGCTCATCATTGTGAACAATGAAACTGACATGTTTAGGGGGTGTTTGAAAACTTTTTAAAATGATGGCTTTGGAGAGAAAACTATGATTTTGAGAAAAAAAAACCCACATACCAAAACCAAAGCATTGTTTTTCATGAAATCAATTTTTTCTATGTTTTTGGGTAGAAAACCATCGGTTTATCAATATATAGATCTTTTGTTTGGTCCATAATATAAGTTGTTTTTAGAGGAATGACTTGGTCTAAAATATAAGTCACTTGAAAAATAATTAATGCTTATTTGTTAATTCTATCCTCACAAGTAATGCTTAAATATAACTCTTTATATTTTTCCTCTTCTTTACAACTTTATTTAATATGAGTAAAGTTGAAAAAAATTTCAATTTGAAATAGGCAGCTAACTGTCATTTTTTAGGTTTTAATAAATTAGTTAAAATGACTTATACATATAAATATATAATTCATACTCCTCCGGTCTTTAATATAAGACATAATTGTTGAGTTGACTTTGGTCTTAAATATGAGACTTATTTATCATATTTATCAATTTTTTTAAATTACTCCTATTGACATTCTCTTAACCATATTTCTTATAACTTACCTAACTTTTTTAAATTAAGCAAATTAGTTAAATATGTTTTATATTAAGGATCGGAGGAGTATTTTTTTTTAATAATTTTAACATGAAAAAGGTGAATTCAATAACAACCATACCAATATTCTCATTTTATCTATTCTACTAAAAAAAAGATCTATTCTCTATAATCACTTTACCATTGTTTTTTTTCAGAAGCTATTATCCAAGAGATAATCCAACTACTATGTCACCACCAGCCCAAAAGTTAAAGAGGTCTTGGAGCTGGGCTCTTGAGGATGATAAGCACAAACGCTTAAACATTCCTCTTGACGTCACTTTCAAATTCCTAATCTCTTCTTTTTTGAAAGATTCATGATGCTCTTCTTTTGAACTTTCCCCATTTATTTTGATTCCAGATGAGCTCTTCATCTTGCCGCCAGAGAATAACTCTCCCTCCCAAGAGGAAGAAAACCATAGGCAACAACCTTCCAGGTAGTTGTGTTGCATGGGGAAGATTGGCCAAACTCAGGCTGCCTTCCAACATGGAAGCTGATGCAGCAACATTCATATTGTGGAATGAAGGTTTTCGCAAGTTTTTCATATTGATCAGACGCAAACAAAATGTGATTCAGTTCTTCAAAAATTACAGGAGAAGGAAATGGCTCAAAGATCTCAAGAGCGGTAGAAAGAAGGGGTCGTAGGCTACTATGACTTTTTAATCTTTTGATCCCAGTTTTCACTTGATTGTAACTCAAATATAGTTACTAATATTTTGAGTGGTTAAACTATAGGGATCTAGTTGCAATAGATGAAAGTTTAAAGACTACAGTTATAATTGGGTTAAAAATATAGAGATCTACTATACGTATGCTGTTATTGAAAATGGCGAAGATATTTTAGAATTCACATAAATTTATTTGACCCACAATTTCTTTCAAAGATTTATAGAAAAGAATAAATACTAAAATCTAAACCAACCAAGTAATATGATTGGAATACATGGCAATAATATCTAACATTGCTCATAATGCATCATAAAAACACGTTTATATTCAAAAGTGCTTTTTATCTAAACTTATTCACATATTTACTTCGTATACTGTAAAATTACTTTTAAAACTATGATTTGATTTCTATCCAAACACCCTTTAAATTATAACTTAGAAGTGCTTTCTCAGCAAGAAAAGCATGGAGTGCTTTAAAAAAAAAAAAAAAAGGCCTCAATCACCACAACCTTATCCTGCCAAATGAAATTAGAAGTATAAATTGTATGAAAATAACATATATGGGTAAAAATTTATAAATGTAAGAGTGACGTTATGCTCTGAAAAAGTTTTAATTTTATTTATGTAGAAAATTCATCTATCCATTAGCTTTTTAACATAAAAAAATATAAGCATGGAATCAATGTTTATCTCTCTCTAAGTATCATGCAAATAGAACCAAATTTATACTTGAAGATATCACCTCTTTCAAAATTTCTTGCTGCCTTAAAGCTTCCCCCCCCCCCACCAATACAAAAGACAATTTAGAACTTCATAGTCCCAAAACAGGCAACCTCAAAATACAACAGATTAAACAAGGCAAGAAATACTATTTCCAATCCTTAATATAAAATTTAGTTTGAACTAAATAGCAAGGGGTAAAGATCTTGAAAAAATAACAAGTCTTCATTTAAATTATAGGTTTCTGTAGCCAAATAATTACCACATTTAATAGTTTCATGTGACGACTCCCAATCATCTCTCACTTTGTTATTGAGTTCTCCATCTTCTATTATTAGTTGAAAAATCCCCCCCCCCCCCCAAAAAAAAAAAAAATCAGTGTGACTATGTAAGCATGAACCCTTTTAAAACCATGCATGGGTGCATTCACTAATATGCGCCAGCAATCCAGCAACTGTGGGGCAGGTAAATAAAAAATTTGATCATGCAGGAAGGGTTTGAATTTATTGCCCATTTACACTTTATTACTGAGGAAAAAAAAATTAACAAAACACATTTACCATGGGAAACTTATAATAAGGAAAATAATTACTTAAAAATTTCAATAACAACCTAAACAGTCTGTAATAATACGTTTCAGAGTAAAAAATCAACATTAGAAACCGTAATAGAACGCCACTTTGGGGGACGGGGGATTGAAATGATCTTAATTGCTTACAGAATAGAATATCATTCATGAAGCCACATTATAGCTTTCAGGGGAGCTTCAGACAGAAGACAAGAACCAATACAGGATAGCAGATGAATTAAATAGAATATTCACTTTGTATAAATGAGCAAAGTTTCATCAGAACAAAAACAAAATAAAAATGCAAAGCTGCAGAAGCAATAGCAATTCATATGCAATTCTTTAGCTGATCTCCTACCCCTTGGAAGAAGAAACAAGAAAGAGCAAAATCAGCAATAAATATACCAACAAGAGAGATAACCACAGCTGATGTTGTTGATTCTCCAACACCTTTAGCACCGCCTAAAGTGGTGACCCCCCATGCACAGCTCACTATAGATATGATAGCACCAAAAACTTGTGACTTGATCATTGCGCTAATGATATCCCATGATCTGAGAGCTCGCCGAGCGGAATCCATGATAATGTTAATGCTCACACCATAAACACCTTCAGCAAGGAGGCAACTAGATGCCATTCCTAATGTAAAGCATAGTAGAGTCAAAAGAGGTAGGGCAATACACGTGGCAACCACTCTTGGGGTTATTAGGTAATCGACAGGGTCAGAACCAAGAACTCTCAATGTGTCAGTTTGTTCAGAAACCTGCATAGTTCCTAATTCTGCTGCAAATGCACTTCCAATCCTCCCGGCAACCACGATTGATGTAATTACTGGACTGAGCTCCCTTGAGAAAGCCAGAGCTAAAACCCCACCAACTGATCTGTTTAATCCTAACCTAGTGAATTCTCTTACAAATTGTACTGCAAAGGCCATGCCAACAAAGGCAGCAGTTAAAAGACAGACCCCAACTGATTTTGGACCAACCCTCTCCAATTGTTGAAGCGTATTCCTCCAATGAATCTTTCCCTTCAGAATCTTCATGATTACCTGTCCAGCAACGATAGGAACTGATAATCCCCTCCACAGGTACCTTGGAGGAGACCAATTGCTGAGGATTGTTTCTGATCTTCCGTTAGGAGCATGGTTGGTGTTTATTTCACTGTCTGCTGCAGAAGCAGATGGATGGCCATCACCTGTGTTCGGAAGCACTAATAGCCTGCTTTGTTTCAAGGGGATGGAAAAAATTTTCTTCGGGAGTCCCTTATTGAATGCACAGTTGGGAACAAGTTGAGAGTGATTTGATGCATGAAAGCTCACTGAACTAGACTTCACATTTGAGATGAAGTTTCTGCAATATGATCCATATGTAAGCCAGTTAACATAAATTGTAATAAAACAATCAGCATTCCAAATAGCAAAAAACCAAGGAATGAGAGTAAACACCTGCAAGCAATATAGAATAAAGGATGACTATATGAAGCTGTTTGCATGGTTGGATTCTTGATTTACAGACTCTAATTGAATTTGGAGGATAATCCCATTTCCTGCATTGGAGAAATGAATGAAAAACCCACTGACAGGATCAGAAGTCTATATTCTGTAGGAGATATTTTACGAAATATTGATAATCACGTAAAGTCAGAATGAAGAGACCAAAAAAAAAAAAAAAGCAGTAGCAATTTAAGGTTTTTTTGACCAGCAGTAGCAATTTAAGGTTGGTTCCAATGATTTTTGATAAACTAATTTTATACAATCAAAGCAAGCAAAATGTGCATGCAAAAGCATGCGATAGGCAGAATAAAATCTGACCTATGAAAGTAAGTATCATATCTTGATACTTCGCAATGCTTTGCATCCTACAAACACTTGAAAACATAAATCATGTGACAGGTTTTGATATTGTCTTCTTTGTATAGATATAAACTAAGGCATGTCAGTTTTCATGGGAAATGGAAAACTTTTCATGAATAAACTTTCATACAGGATTTATTCTGACAAGCTTTCTGTTTCATTTTTCTCATTAAAAACAGAAAATAGTAGAAAAAGGAGAGCGACAAGCCCTCACATGGAAATCTAAGAAAGAAAACACAGATAGAGGAACATAAATGAAAACATACTATCTACCAATAGTCCTATCCATTGAGAAGGGGAAAAAACAGACAAACGAATGAATAAATAAAACCAAAAGGAAAAAGGCTGAACTGGAAGAGAAGCCAAATAAAGCAAATAAATTGTCTTATTTTACATCAAATAAGGGACAATACTGTGGTTCCAAATACTAGCATTCAATTGCTATTATTAGCCACCTTCATGAAAATTTTATCATCTTGGCTACTCCAGCCCATTGCAAAAACCTATCACCAGAAAGTCCTTGCAAGTGTCTGAACAAACACACATGACACATATCACCTCTAATACAAAATAATCTGCAAACTATATTCAAGCCACTAAACAATGCAATAAAAAAATGCCAGTTGGTCTGAAACCCTTAACCAGAATTTCAATGATGAGTCTATAAAAACGAATCAAACATGCCAAATATAGGACTTCCTATAAGGATTAGCCTGCATCAGGGATCATCTTTGAGCCCTTGTTTGTTAACTTAGTTCTAGACATTTTAACTAAGCTTATCAAATAAGACATCCGTAAGTACATGCTTTTTGCCAATAACATAGTTCTATTGGCTGAGTTGAAAGAAAAGACTAACTCTAAACTTGAGTTGTGGAGAAAGACACTAGAGTCAGTAAAAGTAAGACAGAATATATACATTGCAGTTTTGATTAAAAAACAAGTTAAAAGTGATATGGAGGTGATATTAGGAGATCAAGTCATTCCACAAGTGACAAAGTTTAAATATTTATGATCAATTATCCAAAAAGACGGAAAAATTGACGGAGATGTTAAATATAGAATTCAAGTTGAGTGGTTCAAAAGGAGAAAAGATACTGGAATTATTTGTGATTGGAAAGTTCCTAATTAGGTGCAAGGGAAGTTTTATTGAATTGCTATAAGACCAGCAATGCTATGTAGTAGTGAATGCTGGGCTTTAAAGGGACAACATGAGCATAAAGTAAGGATAGCCAAGATGATGATGTTGAGGTGGATGTGTAGTCATACAAAAAAAAAAAAAAAATCATAACGAACATATATGCAGAAAAGTTGCAGTGACTTCTATTGAAGAGAAAATAGTAGAGAATCATTTGAGATGGTTTAGTCACATTCAAAGATCCTATGAGGGGTAGAAGAAAGCCAAAGAAAACACTCAGTGAAGTTATTGAGTAAGATCTTTCAATTAATAACCTACCCAGAGACTTAGCAGTTGGTAGAGCACAATGGCATTGTACAATTCATGTAGCCGACTCTATCTCATAAGATAGTACTTTGTTATTGTTGTTGTTTGTTCAATTGAATTTAGAAATAATCTCAATTAAACTTGCGACCTGATATTAAATGTCCATTGTAGCCGTCACATGAAACATGAGAAATTGATGACTCAAAGCCAAACTATTTCAAGATCCCACGATAACTCCTCAAAGATGGTTATTTTACAACTTTTATTGGATACATGTCCATATTCCACCAGTAATTCCTCAATATTATTATTTTCTAACCATCTTTTCTCTCTGCCTTTCAGTTTATCTTGACAGAACATGCTGTCGACTGACCTAAATATTGAAGGCAGGAAGTATGACGATTAAATTTGAAATTCAATGACTTTGATCAATGATGCTTATGAAATTATGATCATGATAGCAAGTCCTTCAAAACCAACTGAACCAGCAAATAATCTTATCAAACATTTTATAAAACAAAACATAAAAACACGTAAAACCAAATCGAAATGTTTTATTTTAATGGTCAAGTTGTGCCATAGAATCCGATATCCTATATTCCATTGAATGAATTAAATAACATCTTATTTCCTAATGCTCAGAAATATGGAAACATGTAATGAACACCATCAAGTCCCAAATCTAGGCAACCCAGGGGTAATTATAGTTACGGGTCCACACACTGAACACAGCAGTTTGTACATCTATTACCATTTCAAAGAGAAGATCACTCGCTCAACACTACAAGGTTATCCTCACTGCCTTGCTCGTTCTATCAGACTAATACAACTAAGTACAGCCAAGAAGCTTCTAATACATGGTTATCTTCCAGTTGGTAGTTCCATACCTTAAAATCTATACCTCTGTTTCCTTTTATGACCTCTCAACCACAGCTCTCCATTATTATATAAATAACATGGCAAAAGTTAAATAAAATACAGAAGAAAATTTTTGCACGGAAACACGCCAAAATCAGGGAACTTTTTGTGCAGACTTCTATAGAATTCACTCCATGATTCACTTCCCGGTGCTTACATAAGAATTATGGGCAATGGGCAGTAATAGGTGCTCTAACAGCTCCTAGCCTAATCAACAGCCTAACAAACTACCAACCCATACACCCCCTTTCTTGTTATACAGTTTGTATCATAACAATTTCGTTGAAGAGAAAATCTGCCATAAGGTGAATTACACTTCCATAATTAGTTTGTTTCTCCAGGAAAGAGATACAAATTCTTTGGGGAAGAAAATTCAAGCAAAGTATCTATACATCGAAATACTATTATATTATGTTCAAAGGAGTACCTGGAAGCAATTATAATATTCAAATTTAATGCAATAGCTGAGGTACTATGTGAGTTAGCTGAATTAAAAAAATGAAAAATAAATAAGTAATGAAAAGATTCATCAGTCTGTCAAAAGACAACATAAAGTCATAGACCTAGAACCCTTTTTAATTTCCTTAATCCCATCCATCACAAATGAAAATACTGTCAAAACTCCAAATCTTCATCAAATGATGAAAAATACTATGACTGATAACTGCAACAACATCTGATTTGAAACGTAGGATAAGCAAAAAGAAAAACAAAGAAAGAAAAAGTAGAAGCTCATGGAATCCCCCCAAAACCCATAAAAACGTAAACTTTGGGAACGCCGAACAAACCCGTAACTCCCTGAGCTGAACAGTAACCTAACCGTAAATTGCAAACAAACATATGACTTAGCAAGCTTAATCAAACAAAATCATCAGCGAAAAGAAGAAAAGAGCACAAGACAAGGGCCAGAAGGGAAATTAAATTCATGGGCATTTTAATAATTCAAATTAGCAAGTCCCTAATATGCGAACTTCGATTTCTACACTAAAGCGGTGATACAAGTCAAAATTATATTGTCTTAAAAAAACTTTACCAAGTGTTCTATCAAGAACCAATCAAATTGCAAACTCAAAAGTAATATTTTGAGTGAATTAGAGAAAACAGTGAGGGATTCGCCTTCGGATAGATGCGTTACCTGAAGAGGCATATCACGGAGATTAATGAGAGCTTACAAGTTATCCTCGACCTCCACAGTATTGACCATGAATTGATGAAAGGAGTAGTGGGACATACACAAAAGAAGGTCAGAAAAAGAAGAACAAAGAGATACTTCTGTTTCCTGCGCACTCTCTTCGCCTGACTAGACGATGGAAAATAGCGATTGGTTCCTCCAAGCCTGAGGAATTGCTAGCAGGACAACGATGCGCATCGTTTAATTATTCAAAAAGCATCACAGCCGTACATTATCATTGAATCTTAACCGTCCATTAAAAAAGGGCACACGCCCATCAGACGAACCTCCATTGATGAGAGCAAGTCTCCGTTACTCGCTGCACCATCAAATTCTCAACAAAGTTAATATCAAGCCCTTCCTCCTTGCCAATAAAAATTTTTAATCCAATAGTTTCAATCAGCTGCAACCACCACGGGGGCAAAAAAGATTCGAGCTTATCACTGGCATAAAAGCCGATGAAGGAACGAGGAAATGAGTGGTTGAACCCCTAAATCTCACTCGCACCAACAGAGCAAAGAGACAGAGATGATTCCGACGCCGAAGAATCAAGAAGATTGAAACGCACACACGGCAAAGCAAGCTTCAATCGTAATCGTACCATCAGACGCGGCAAAGGGAAGAAGAAGCAAGAAGCGGACTGCTCACCCACCTTCACCACGGCAGCGTTGCGAACAGAGGAAGAAGCTAATACACACACCGAAGGCGCACTGAAGAAGGAAGGAGGAGGACGGAGGATTGAAGAACGAAGAGCGGCTTTGAACCGAAATCCTGCACATACGCACCACCAGCAAGAAGGGAAAGGGGAAGGGCAGTGGGGACTTTTCGAGTGAGAGCGAAAATGTTCCTAAACCTTCTCCCTGCTAATGCCTGAGCTCTACGGGAATGGGGCGAACAAACAATCCCACGTCTCCCTGGTTTTTTGTTTCATGCCTTGGCAAGTCCCCGTGTCTCTTCTTATTATTCTTCAACCTTTGACGGGTGTGTTTGGTTGGAGGGGCTCCTCTTATTTGATTAAAAATTTTGGAGGGGAGGGGAGCATATGTCCCCTTTCCTCTCTCCCCCCATTTTGGCTCCCCTTTAAATTGGGGGTTTTTAGAGGGGAGTCAAAATTTTGGACCATTATACCCTTATGTCTTTTTTAATATTCCACTTCTACCCATAAAATATACTATTATAATATTTATTTCAAATCAAAAAAAATATATTATCCTAAGTAAAAAAATAAAAAATATATACATTATTATAATTAAAAATATATTATAAAAATTATTTAAAAATAAAAAATATTTAAATAAAAAATATAATATTATAAAATTAATTTTTTTTATAAATATATTATTTATTAAATATATTTTAAAGCTGGAAAAAAAGATAGCCTAAAGAAAATAAAATTTCATTTTTCTTATAGCATATAAAATTTGTTAATTTGATTATTTTAAATATATTATTATATTAATTAGAATAAAAAATTACTATACTAATTTTTTAATACACATATTAACATGATAAGATTGAATTTTTATTAAATTATATAATTTAAATTAAGATGTAAATTAATTTATATAATATATCAATAAAAAACATAAACTAATATGTAAGGGTAAAATGGTAAATTGATTATTACTATCCCTCCCCTCCCCTCCTTTTTAATCAAACCAAACAAGGGGAGGATGAAACCTCCCCTTCCCTCCCCTACCCCTCCCTCCCCTCAAACCAAACAGGTCCTACCTGAAAATTAAAATTTCATACTCCTCCTGTCCTTAATGTAAGATCCATTTAACTAATTTGATTAGATTAAGGAAGTTAGGTAAGTTAGTTAATTATAAGAAAAGTGACACATTTTTCCTAAAACACCATAATTATCTTTCTTAATACTCCATCTTCTTCTTTTACTTGATTATGGTTGAGGAAGTATTCATAGGGGTAATTTAGAGAAAATTGATAAATATGAGAAATGGGTCTTATATTTAGGATCAAAATCAACTCAAGAATTGGGTCCTATATTAAGGACCGGAGGAGTATATTAAAATTTATATTTTTATTCCTAATTACTTCTCCGGTTTTTAATATAAGACATGTTTAAGTAATTTGATTAGATTAAAGAAGTTAGGTAAGTTAATTAATTGTAAAAAATATGGCATGCTTTTTCTAAAATACCATACTCATCTTCATTAATATCTTCTCTCTCTCTTTTACTTGATTATGGTTGAGGGAGTATCTATGGGAATAATTTTTTAAAAAAGTGATAAATATGAGAAATAAATCTTATATTTAGAACCAAAATCAACTCAACAATTAGGTCATATATTAAGGGTTAGAGGAGTAATTTTTTTCATTTATTCTTTTTCCATTCTCTCTCACTTACCCTATGCATAAATAATTTTTTTTAGTTAAATAAGTTATAGTTTTATTTAATTACTACCTCAAATTATTAATATAAGATTTAGTGTAATTTTGAATTCAATTCTAAATATAAAATCAGTATCTATTTTGTCTTTTATATTTATCTATTTTTTAAGGTAGTTCTTATAATAGTAATACATGTTAAAAGTTTCATTACATAATAGTTCTAGCTAATATACATGATTAATAAATATATTTTGAAAAAGATAACACCTACTTATTACAAATAACAAATTTAACTAATTTTTTAATTTAACCAAATTACAGCATTAGCTTTAAGGTAAATTAACTTCTTTGCAAAGCTTATAATTTACAAATCAATGTGTGTGTTCAATGTTACTATAAAAAATAATATTTTAATTACTACTTCTACTCTTAAATATAGAAGCTAAATAAGAAGCTAATTTTGATCATAAATATAATATTTTGATCCATTTTGCTTCACAAGTTTATAATTTTTCATCTAAAATACTCATATTAATTGCACATATTAAGAGGGTCCCAAGTAAAAGGTAATTTCAATACACATGATTAGAAATATTAGTTTAGAAAAATTAAGACATATTTGTCACCAATAATTAACTTAATTAATTTTTTTAATGTTCACAAATTAGTTATTTATATCTTATATTAAAAACCAGAAGTAGTATAAATCTATAGCAAGAAAAGATTTCCAGCTCAATGGTAAAAATGGACTAAATTGCTGACTAATAAGTGCCGTCCATCAATTTCATAGGTCATCATTACGTAAAGAGTATGATCTTGCATGAAGATTTGTGCATTATTTGATTTTTATTTTAGAAGAGGAGTTTAAACTTTAAAGAAACTATTGAAACCAACCTTTTTGCAGCTACTGCGCCTTATTATTTATGGTTCTCTTCTTTATTATTTTACTTGCTCATCTATAAAGGAAATGAGATTACATTCCAAATTAAACTATGGTGTGCGTGGATCAAGAACCCAATCATGCAAAACACCAACAAGTATAGTCATCATTTCATATCACTTGCAAGTGATTACTCTAACTCAAGCTCCCTGCTTATTCGCTATTTGCAATAATTTTTATTGTGACAATTTGTGCCAATTGGTTTCAAAATAAAACAATTTTCAAACAATTATCTAACATCTAAAATTAGGAGAAGTTCTTTCAACTTATTATTTCACATCCACATGATTTGATTTTAATCATATAACTTTGGTTAAACAGAATGGATTCTCATTAGTTCCCCATAAACCAACTTCTGAAATGCAAAGATTAGATCGATGCACCAAATTGCACTCCAACTTGTTCCATCCACAACAAGACTTACGACACACTCTTTGTTGGCAAATTTATTCTTATAATGCATCACATAAGGAACATTCTGAAAACAGACTATCTGTTCACAAGAATAAGGCTATGTACATCTATCCCTCCTCAAATTCCATCTAATAGGAGCCTTGTATGTTGGGTCGCCCCGTGTATATATCATACAAGGAAAATACTTCATTTTGCAGGTAGCCAAGAAGAAAGTTGGGGAGTGTCAGATTCTTGCCATGTGACTGATCCAATAGCAGTTATATCACCTTTGATGGCATCAGCAGCAACCAAAGAATCAAGCTCTACCAATTCTTGTGGAGTAAGTTTAACTGACAAAGCCCCAATATTTTGATTGAAGTTTTCAATTTTGGTAGTTCCAGGAATGTTAGCTCTACCAGTTCTTTTAACCATTTCACTAACCCTCTCGAATATATTATTATTGTGCTCCAGGTTTTTAGGTTGGAATCTAGGTAGACACTGCAATGAAGTCAAATATATAAATAAAATTGGATTCAAATCTCAACACCCCCCCCAAAAAGAAAGTATGAATGCAAAATTCAAAAAAATGACATCAAGATTTCAATTAATAAATCAATAATGGACATTTCTACTTGAATGCAAAATGTGATATTTAATTATTTAGGGTTGTATGTTTACGTTGTTCTTAAAGAATATTTTGCTACACCCAAGATTATTGTGAATTGTGGAGGAGAATGACTTTGTCATATAAAAAATAATCCAAAAGAAAGGAGAGAGAGAGAGAATGATTTTGCCATCTCAAAGAGGAGAAAGATCTAAGGGTAGTGGAAAAGAGAGGAAAACATTATAGTTGCTTGAATTGATGATAAAACTCAAAATATATTAGACTCATAATCATTTGGGGATTACAAGAATTAATTTGATTAATTAAGATAATCAACTTATTTCACAATGACATTTAGTTATAATTTAATCTTTAATAGTGAACTATAACGCTGAGGACAAATAGGGTAAGAAATAGCTAGCAGGAATTGATTCTAACATTCAAGGGCCTTGAAATCATATTGTCATAAGTTAGACTGTTTATAATGAAAAATGCAAACCATATTGCATGATCCATATATATAGAGATATAGTAACAAGAATCAATGCAAACCTTCTGAGGGTCATTTTCTGAAAAGCTTTCAACCACCTTTGCTCTTGATGTAAAGAATCCTCGTCCAATAGGACAATATGCTACAATTCTAATGCCAGCTCCCTGAGACATCACAAATACAAAATTAGAGGCCAGAAAACTAGAAAAATAATTTAATTATCAAAAGCTCTAATAGAGAGGACAACATAAATATTATACTACCTCCAGTCCTTAATATAAGAATTAATTCGACTTTCAATTTGATCCTAAGTATAAGACTTTATCCATTTTGTCTCTCATATTTATTTATTTTTTCTAAGACAGTTCTTATAGTAGTCATACATGTGAAAGATTTTATTGAATGACACTTGCTAAGCAATTGTACTTTAGGAAAGACAATACCTATTTATTACAAATAACTAATTCAACTAATTTTCTTAATCTACTCAAATGAGTTAACTAACTTTTATATTAAGAACCGAAAGTAGTATGATAAACTCTTATTTCACTATAGATTTTCATACTATTTTTTGGGGGGTTTTATCATTATT